TCCATTTATCAGAGCAGCTCCAGGATCATTTCAGCCAAGGGTTGGAGCAGTTCACATGTCTTGAAGGGAGAGGGCAAGGTCTCTTACAGGTGTACCTGATAGTCTTCCCACTATTGATATCAAAGGTAGGGAGTAGCAACTTGGCTGGGAAGCTGGAAGCTTCTAACCTGAGGGTTACAAGCATAGAAGGTTCTGGATATCGGAGTTTCAAAACACAACATAGAAGGAGGATTGTTGTTGTTTGTCTTTCGTTCTCGAAGGTGATGCCATGTAGTACCAGGCAGAAGGCAAGGGTGTGGCAAGGGCATAGATAGCCTGTTAATGGAGAAAGGTCAATTCCCCCCTCTATACAATAACTATTTTATAGGAAGGTCCTGTGAACCAGTGTATTTGAGGAGCTGCTGCTTTCTGAATGGTTTCTCTGATATCCTCAATTTGGGTCATTCATTGAAAAACACTTATGAGCTTGTTTAGCAAGTGAGCAATTCAAGTCAGTTAAATTTCATTTAACTGAGTATTTGTTATGTTTCCAATGGTTGCTAGACTCACCTTTCCTATCAAAATGTTACTGTTAAAAGGTTGTCATGGGTCTGCTGCACCTGGCTTGAAGCCTTGGCTGCCAGCAATCAGGAAGCAGTGACTGTATAATTGAATGAAGAGAGAACAAGGAAGATACAAAAGGGAAAGAGAAAAGGTGCAGCAGGGAAGATAGATCTTTCATTTCTTATTTTTGAGCACATTCTGTAGCAAAATACAGAGAACATTTCAGTTGACGAAAGAAAGAAAGAAAGAAAGAAAGAAAGAAAGAAAGAAAGAAAGAAAGAAAGAAAGAAAGAAAGAAAGAGAAAGAAAGAAGAAAGAAAGAAAGAAAGGAAGAAAAAAGAAAAGAAAGAAAGAAAGAGAAGAAAGAAAGAAAAAGAAAGAAAGAAAAAAAAAGAAAAGAAAAAAGAAAGAAAGAAAGAAAGAAGAAAAGAAAGAAGAAAGAAAGAAAGAAGAAAAAGGAAGAAGGAAGGAAGGAAGGAAGGAAGGAAGGAAGGAAGGAAGGAAGGAAGGAAGGAAGGAAGGAAGGAAGGAAGGAAGGAAGGAAGGAAGGAAGAACCTTTTAAGGCAGAATAAAGCACCACTCCCAGGGAAGCTTTTTTAACTGAGGGAATTTCTTACTATTTTAGAGAGACAGCTGTTTAGTCTGTGATTTTGTCCTTTTGGAAAATCTAAATGACCTCTCCTCCTTTGCATTAAATAAAAAATGATGCAGGACCCAAGATTAGGTTTGGTGGCAGAGCTGCAGAGGTAGCTCCGGCATCCATTACTTCTACTCTGTTGTTAATGGCAAGCAAACATTTGATTAACTACTGAGATTTGGACATCAAGGGGATTCAAGGTACAGTTAGAGGTAAATCATGTAGCTAAATCTCTGTTCCATCCTCACTTCACCTGCTCTCCCATTTTCAGATTTCTGGCAGAATGGCAGCTGGAGGCCTTCACCTCAGGGGCAGGACAGGCTATAATTATTTCAAGAGTAATTGGAAAAAAATTGCACACAATAATAGCTTGTCAATAAAGCACAGAATGTAGGAAGGTGTAGCTTTTCTTGAAAGATTAAAACCCAAAGCTCCCCTTTTTCCATGACTACAAAGTAGATATGCTAAAGGGGAAAGATTTTAGACGACTCCTGCAACAGTAACAAAGTTCAGACTTTTTGAACTGACCAAAATGGAAATGAATGGACATAATTTGGTCTGTGACACATTTCGTATGCAGGCTGTGGTAATATAAACTTCAAAGGAGAAGAAGATCCGATTTTCAGGGAGTTGGTAAATTTCAGTTAATGTTCAACAAACTAAAACCCAATATGGCCTAATCATGTTGAATGTGAACAGACACTGTAAGATATGGACATCAGTTTTATGATTGCATAAAAGTTAAAAGCTGAAAAAGGGGAAGGGACTTTCTTGTTTATTTGGCTTCTATTCTAAATATTAGAAAGTCTTTTACCTGTTTGACATTATTCATAACAGACACATTCAATTTGAGAAAACCAGAACTGAAACTTATGAGAAATTAGAGTTAATTTTAAAATATAAAAAGAAAACTAGATAACCCTTTGGATAAGAAGAAGAAGCATCCAATCCAAATCCATAACAAAGACAAATTCATTCATTCAACAGACATAAGAAAGGCATTGTGTCAAGAGGGGGAAAATGTTCTCATCTTAAAGCTTTGACTTTTTAAAGAGTAATTACTGGGGAAAGTATTTTTGAATGTGATAGATACGATCACATCAATGCATGTGCTTTGGCTTTATGGGTGCTAGCCCATGTGCTTCCCTTCTCTCCTCTTCTGAATCATCAAAGTTATTATGTCAAAGAGGATTGAGTACTTGGCCAAGAAGAGCTACGTAGACCTCAAAGGAGTTACTCTGCCCTTGGCCTTCCCTCTATCTTCTCAAGGTGTGGGGAGTCTGTGTGGCTCTTTCTTGGACTTCCCTTGCTGGAATCAGGGGTTGGAGTGGGGGTGGGGAGGGGAGTAAATAGCTCCTCTGCCTCCAGCAGACATGGGGCTGCTTATGCTTGGCACCAAGAGCATATATGCTAATCTAGACAAGCCTGAGACTGATGAGCCTCAATTCTGTCTTCCTTTTTGCTTCATGTTTCTCTCTGTGAGCATAGGCATAGATGAGCCAACAGCGATCATGAGATGAACATTTTGGGAATGACTGCTTACCTTGGGAATTCCTGAGAAGCTTACTGACAGAAGGAAGACTTCTCTGCAACTACATCCTTCTCGGAGAAGATAACCATTGAGTACTTTTATATTTCCTTTTGGAGAGACCCTAGACTAAAGTCATACCTAAATTTTAAATGATTTTCCTCAGGGCTTCAAGATAGGAGCATAAAGAACTGGAGGGTTTAAGAAGGAGCCTAATCTTTCTCTTTAGAGACCAGGCACCTCCAGGACTGAAACTGGTTTACATGAGACCAGAGCTCAGGCTCTTTTAGTAAGTCATGAAACTTTTCTAGGCTAGCTCCTGGTCTATTGTTTCACAAATTCGTGATTTTTAAAAATGTTTAATTGTTTTGGTTTTTTTTTTTTTTAGGCAATTGGGGTTAAGTGACTTGCCCAGGGTCACACAGCTAGTAAGTGTTAAGTGTTTGGTATGAGGTCACATTTGAACTCAGGTCCTCCTGACTTCAGGGCCAGTGCTGTAGCCACTGTGCCCCCTAGCTGCCCTGAATGCGTAATCTATTAAAGGAATCATTCTGTAGTAGTGTGACCATAGAACTTGAGATCTGAAGCCCTGCAGTGGAGCCCTAGCTGTGCCACTTTGGGCAAATGATTGAGCTTCTTTATGACTCAATTTCCCATCTTCCCCATCCATCAAATGCAGAAAGTATTTGCTCTACCTATCAACAGGGCTATAGCAGGGGAGAGGGGTGTCTGGGCTTATGATTTATATGTAGAGAATTTGCCTGAGAAAACTTCTATAAGTACAAATTGGCAACTTTCTGCCCCCTAAAATGTTAGCACCTGGGGCACTGAGAAGTTACAGGACTTATCCAAGATCACATAGTCAGTATGTCAGAGGTAGTTTGAATCCAGGCCTTCCTGACTCTTACCAGATGGCTCTCCATTATGCCTGGCTGCCTTTATGAGGAACAAATGGAAAGCTTTTTTTTTCTTTTGTGAAGTTGATTTGAAAAAAATGCAGTGTCCCTTCCATAATTTGTATCAAAGTGACTCTACTTTGACCCTTCCTTTCTTCTTCCTCCTCTCAGCATGTTATTTTTCATTCTTTGGTACACTGCAATCATTCTAAAGTAAGTTTAAAATGTGTTTTGTTTTGATCCAAAATACAAATGAGAGCAAGGACCATGTTTTTTTCCATACTACTTACTTTTCTTTAATTCTGTATGCCATAGGTGTTAAATAAAAGGTAAATATCCAATAGCAAAAATAAGTAATCAGGCTTGAAACTTGTCTAATTGTCCCAAACTGCACTGGAAACCACTACCAACTTTGCATATTTCCACAGCTGTGAAAATGTAGGCTAAAATTGCCCTATATTTGAAAGGAACAACTTAGATGGCACAAAATGGTTATTTAAATGACCCTAATCCAGAGACTTCGTAAGTGTTCCATGAGTATAGAGGAACCAAACATAATGTGGATTTTTCTGTAACAGATGAAGTGGGGTGGCTACCAACTGATTAGACAGACAATATAACCATGACAATTAGGACTGTATTTTGGGAAAGGATTGGCACTGATAGTAAGATGCCAGGAAAAGTTGGTGGTTGACACCAAAGTCCCTGACCAGAATAGGAAAAGGAGTCAACAGCCAGCTATAATCCTCTCCACACTCAGAATTCCAATAAACAGGCTTGGGTGTGTTTCATGGTGGTTTCAAGGTAAAGACTGCCTTGGAGATGAACTAAATCTGTGATATACTGCTAGATCCCCTTCTAGTGGCTGGAGACATCCTCTTTCCCCCCCAGTTTATGGCATGTACCCTTCCATCAGTACTGTAAATGAAAGAAGAGTTTGGTGGAGGAGACAGTGATGGAAAAAGGCACATTTTCCAATACCATTGTCTCATCACAGCCTGGAGGCAACTCTGGGTTTTCAAAGGCTATTCTAGCAGAATTCAAACTCTTTCAGGTCTCACCAAGTTGGAAAGGGTTTGAATGTGGGCTTGGGGATGGACTGTTTATTTTCCTTGCATTAACCAGCCTACTTGAATTTGGAAAGGAACTAGATATGAATTATTTTGGCCCAGGCATTGATAAAGGCTGTTTACTAAGGCATGGAGTTGCAACCTGCTTCAGTGAACATCCACATTGCTGAAATCAAGATTTTTTTTAAATGAAATATTTGAAGTTAAAGTATAGGAAGGTACTTCCATAGGGATGAACAAATCTTGACCTCAACCTGTCAAGTTTTAAGCATAGAATTAAGGATCATGAACTCTTGAATTCTTAAAAAGAAACAAACAAAACTAATACAATTATATGCATCTTTTATGAAAACTGTTGGCAACAAAACTTCATCTTATTACATTTTCCAATTCTTGTTAATAGAAGCAGAGATAAATCAAGGAATAGTATTACCCTCTTCCCCAATTGGCATTTAAATTTCCCATACCAAGACCCTAAGATTGTCATTTTGTGATAAAGCAATGGAGAATTTCCTACTAAATCTTGTACATTCTGTACAGTAAACCTTCAAGATAAGGGATTTGTAAACTGCTACCTTTGTTTTGGGACACCTTGTCATGGCATTCTAAAATCTATGCAGTACATATGCACTATAAAATAAATAGAATTACAAGAACTTGTCATGTAAATGGTTCATATAATCCTGTCAGCACCCAATTCTCACACATTATAATCCATATGGACCAGATTACAGATAATTCGTGTACTCTGTGGTTTGAAAATTGTACCACACATGCTACTGCCCAATAGGACCTCTGTACCCTTAACATATATAACTTCATTTATCTCAACATTAGTACCTTCCTGCCACATAAATTGAAATATTCTGACATAAAACATATTTATAAAAATTAATATTTAAAAGTATGCTTCATTGTATCCCTTTCTGAGTATTACATTCCAGGCAGCTCTGAGTGTACCTTGTCTATCCTGGTCTAGACGTGCTTGACCTGTTTGTGGCATGAAGCCTTTGACAAAAATGGCATCTCAAAGGGGTAAAATCCCATTGTTAACAAAAGGGTGGGCATTGTTCCTGATAGGAAAAATAACATGTTATATCAATTCATAATCTTTTTCTATAAGTTCCTAGGCTGCTTGATTTTCCTTTTTCCTTTGTGTAACTTTTCAAAAATGGTTTCCCCCCAATCATTTTTATTGCGCTTTTTAAAAAATATACAAAATACAAACATGACAAATACAACAAGCTAAAAAGCTATACTCATTTGAGTGCCAGCAATGTAAGAAGAAGTAATATTCCAAAGCAGCAATTACATATTCCATCCTATAATCTCATAGATCAATGCTCTCAGCTGTCTGGATTCATATGTAACTGTATTCTTTCCGATGTGCATTCTTTCTTCCTCTAGGGGTTGTTCAATTACTGCTGGTATGTTTCTACCATAAAGTTCACAGTGTTCTAGAAACTGCACACACTCTTGAATAACACTATCTCGTAGCATGATCATGTGCTTGGACATGTTTTCCAGAAGAGAAAGGAAGCATCTTTTGGCATAATACCAGGTATCAGTCCCAAGTTTTTTATTATAGGGTTCTAAGCTTTTGATAACTCGGGAAATACCAAAGTCATAATTTCCTTTGGCACAATACAGAGTTCCTATCACCAAGTTTACTATGCAGAGATGATAGATTTTCTTATCTGGATCATCATAGGACAACTGCTCTTCCTCCTTTTCAATTTTCCTCATCAACTCCTCTGCCTCTTCATTTTGACTTGTCATGATATACGAGACACATAAATTGGCCAATACAATTGCACTCACGTTCAATATGTTGTCATAGTGCTTCTTGACTATGGGCTCATAAAAACCGATTGCTTCTTTGTATTTATTTTCCTGCATGAACAGAACATGAGCAACATTCAGTTTCCACACATCATGGTCATTACAAAACTCCACAGATTTGCGAAAGATTTTTTCCACCATTGGATAATTCTCAAGGTTCCAGTAGATTTTAGCCTGAGCCATCAGCACTGGGATGTACTTTTCCAAAGTTTCATCATACTCATTCACTGCCTTCTTAACAGCCTCATCGTCTCTATTGTGCCTGGCTTCTTGCACTTGCTTGGTAAGCTTCCTCAGCTGCTCAGTCAACATCCCTGCCAGCTCATCAAGCTTAAGGAAAGCTTCTTCAGGGGCCGTCTGGCAGGTAATCATGGCATCCAAGAAGTCATAGAGGTAGGGTGAGAGGAATTTGTATGTCAGGTGGGCATTTTCTGCCAGAACATCTGCGGCCAAGTCGAAATACTCATACTTGCAGTAGAGCAGCAGCAGGTTACCAAAAGTCTCGGGGGGGAAAGGGTTCTGCTGGAGCAAAAACTGCAGCTTTTCGAATCCTTCGGTGGGTTTGGCATCCATGTTCATGAGGGCCTGGTTGTGCAGGGTGACCGGGTCCAGCTCCTCTTCGGCCCGCGGAGGCATATCCGTGAGGGCCTCCTGGGCGGCCTCGTGGTTCCGCAGCTGGTACTCGATGGCCGCTTTGAGGTTGAAGGCCTCCACGAGGGCGGTCTGGTGCAGCACCAGGGTGTTGCCGACGCTCCGCACATCGATGCCCTCGGTGGTCATCCCCACACCCAACTCGGGGTGCTGGCGGATGCCTCGTTCGATGATATCCGCGATGTGCTTCAGAGCCGGCGCGTAGTGTCGGCTGCTGTAATAGGCCAGGGCCAGGTTGTAGGAGAGGTCCGGGCGGTAGCCCGAGGCCTGCAGGGCGGCTGCGAACTTGGCGCAGGCCGCGTCGTACTGGCCCTCCTTGTACAGCAGGCAGCCCAGGTTGACCTGGCCGTCGGGCTCGCTTTCCCCCCCGGCCTCATCACCTCCTTCCCCACTCAGCAGCTGCTCCACCAGACTCTGCGCCCCGGGCAGGTCCCCCTCGCTGTACTTGATGGCGGCCTGGAGGCGGAGGACGCGGCTGTGGTAGGCGGGGTTGTCGAGGAGTAGAAAGGCCACGCGCGTGGCCTCGGGATAGAGGCAGGCCTTATAGAGGGCCTGCGCCTGGTAGAGGCGGTACTGCTCCAGTTCCGGGTGCAGCTGCCCCAGCTGCTCGTAGCACTCGGCCGCCAGCGCGAACTCCTGCAGGCGGTAGTAGCAGTAGCCGAGCAGGGACAGGCCGGCCCGGCACCTCGGGCTCCGCTGCAGCTCTCCGCCCAGAAGCTGCACCGCCTCGGCGTAGCGGGCGTCCCGGATAAGGCGGTACACGGCCGCCGTGAACTCTCCGTCCGGGATCTGCGCCCCGGTTAGGCCCGCCATCACCCCCAGGATTGCTCCGCGTTGCCGTCTCCACGGCAACTACTACGAAACCGGAAACAAAAACAGAATGACCTTCCTCCCGGACCCGGAAATGAAAAATCTCTGTCGTCGGAGGGACGGTTTGGAATCGGAATCTCGCAGGCCCTATAGGTCGCTATTTTGCTCGTTTCGCGAAATTCCTGAGTTAAGAGAATGTGAGAAGATGCCTGGGCTCGCAGAGAATCTCGGCTGTTTCCCGGCATGCATCACTTTGACCGCGCACGGACTCCTGGGAGGATGAATTTTACCTCAGTCGTGCTGCATGTTGGGAGATGTAGTCTCTGCGGGGGCATTCTTTCGCTCTTGGGAGATGTAGTCTTCAGGATCTTCCCGTCCATATTGAGAAGCAGGAGGCTGTGTCTGCTTTATGCTATCCTCTGTTCCCCCAGGAGGGCTGGATTTCGTCTTCTCATTTTGTGCACGCAGCCTGCTCAGAGACGATGCTTACAAGCCGCTTTTTTTTCCCCCCCTTAAAAGGGGAAGGACAGGCAGGGTTAACGCTATCTCTTTCTGCTGGAAAAATCTAATTCAGTTTGAGGCAATAGATTTTGAGCTAAAAGAGATCAGATTAGACCCCCTGATTTTACAGAGAGGGAAAATGGGGCACTGAGAGGTTCTGTGACTTTACCAAGGTCACAAAGTTAGTAAGTGGCAGAGCTAGGATTCTAACCCAGGACCAAGATTCAAACCCAGAGCCCCTGCCTCTTTTCCACTGCTCACAGCCCTGTGCAGTTATCAAGCCTACGTTGCTCCGTGGGCACAGTCTCTGAGGACCAGCTAGCAGAGATGTTCTCTCAGACGGTTCATTTTGGGAGGAGAAAGCCTTTTTTCAAGGGCTGGTGGTGGTGCTGGTGGTGAAAGTAAATCCTCTATTAAATTTGGGCTTTGGGTTTGGGCGGCATCTGGAAGCACCTCTTGAGTCTCGACCACTGATATGTATAGGGAGGCTGAAGCTGCTGAGTCTAGAAATCATAGGAATCATAGGATTTCATACTGGAAGGGCCAGTAGAACTAATCTACACCAACCCCTTCATATTACAAATGAGGCATAGAGAGAAGCTAAGCGCCCTGCCCCAAATTCCACACAGAAGAATCAGAAATCTGGTGTTAGGTTTTAAAATTCTGAATCCCTTGTTCTTTCTGCTGTCCCACCCTGTTGGCTGAGAGGCCTTAAACCTGATCTGTTGGAAGGACATAAAAAAAAAGACCTGGTTTCTGCCTCTAAGGTGTAATATTGTTCCAGGTTTTATTGATGCTATAAAATGTAGAAATGATGAGGTTCTTCGCAGTGCTTTGCTTTTATCTGGTACATCCTCTGCATAGAGGAGATGCTGTGTTTTCAAACTTCTATGAACCACACAGGACAGCCTGTGTCCTCTAATATCAAATACCAAGCAAAGGAGTTTTGCCCCCATCCTTCAGAAAAGAATGATACAATTAAAATCTCCTTTTCCTTTGTTGGACAGCATGTTGTAGTGGAAATAGTGCTTGACTGAGAGTCAGAGGACCTGAGTTTGAATATTGGATTTTCCTGTTATTATACTTGTGTGACCTTGGGCAAGTCACTTAACCCCACTATGCCTCAGTTTCTTCTGTAAAAAGTGAGGGAGTTCAACCAGATGACCTCTTAGGTCACCTCCGACTTTAAATGTATGATTCTGTGATTATTTCTCCACTCCTTAGGTCCATTCTCACAAATATACCTCAAAACTTATCTGAATCCTCTTTAGTGTGGGTGTTTCTGCCATAGATGCAGACCACAACACAGATACGCAGTTTCATCCTGTTTTTCTTATTTGTGTACTTCTATAGATTTTCCAGAGAAGATCCACCCAGTGTTCTGGAGATCTACCTCTTTGTGACTACCAATGTAACACACTGGCCTTCCAGCTGTTAGGTGCTCATTCTTGCTATGTGATCAGCCCATCTCCTTTGCTAATCATATATTTTTTGAATGATATGACCTCTTACATAGAGATTATTATTGGAAATATGCTGCAGCCCGCCATGTTTTTCATTTATCTTTGGATCAAGGTTGGTCCTTTGGAGACTGTGATGTTTCAAGATTAGTACTCATCTCACTGATAGAACATCTGTGTTTTTCAATAAAAAGCATGAATTTATAGATTGGGGAAGAGCTTGGTATTGTTAAAAGCATTGCACAATTTCTCACATGCAGTCTAGCCCGCCCTTTTCCTTTTATTCAGGGCCCAACTCATTGTCTTATCCCATATATACATGTATACATGCACATATGGGTATATACATATACAAATGTGTATGTATGTGATATAGATGTGTGTACTAGCTTAATGAACTGACCATCCAACTTCATGACACATGGCAATAGGTATTTTAAAAATCTATTTAGTTTTTTCTGTATGATTTGTTAAATCTCTTTCCAGTAATTACAAATTTCACTGAGAAGGCTCTATGTTGTTTTGGGGCTTGATTCAAACAACAGAATGTCATCCAGGAAAGAGAATCTGGAGAACCTCACATTCTATAGGAAATCTTTATTTTATAAACCTCATAAACAAAAAAATAAAATTTTCAACATATAAATTTAAGAATGTCACCTATTTTGATAAACATTGGTGTCTTAGTAAGGATCCTTTTGATCATCAGTAGCCTGAAGAAATAAAGAAATAATGCCATGGATCATAGTTTCAATTAAGAAAAATCTTGTACTTGATCAAAATTGAATCTTTTTCAGGCTCATAGCTAAATCTAAATTGTCAGAATGTTTTAGAAGCTAATTCTTATTCTTTTATCAAATGTGTAATAGCTGATTTAGATAGCAAGTTCCTCATTAGGGACCCAACATATTTAACATCTTTTGCATAATGGCCATTACAGTGCCATGAACAAGTAGGAGCTTAATAATGTTATTTAAGGAGAGTAAAATATTAGTAATAAAACAGTGGACTCATACCCATTGTTTAGATAGATTCATTGGTGACAATTACCTTTTGGGAAATGAAATGAAATATTTTCATTTGGGACTAGAAAAAGGACCATGTAAAAGATGACAATGGAATTTAGTTACTACAGTGAAATGGGGGGTAAATCATGAAATTTTCAAGACCTTAAAAGGTATTTCAGTAGGAGATTACTGCTGACAAATTGGCCTAATTCCTGAATCCTGAATCTGCTTTAGAAGAGATTATTACAGTCCAGTCCGCAAGGGCTAGGACTTGCAATTTTAGGGGAAATTGATATGTACATTGCTCGTGCCAAACCTTTGCAATTATAGTTGAGCATTATTTGGTTTTTGACAGCAGATACTACGTCTGCCTTTGAATTACAGCTGACGGAATGTTGTTAGGGAGTTAATGGTGGGTTGAAATTTAGCTCTTCTTCCTAATGTTTTCTCATGGACTTAGAACCCATCCATTTACTGTAATATTTTGATGGAGGCATAACTTTTCGATGGACATGTCACCTTATGCAACAAGAAAATAAGACTATTAGGCTACTCTAATAATCAATAACACCTCATTTATATGGTACTTAGCTCATTTTCCAAATGAGGATGCCAAGAATAGATTGGTTAAATGAATAGCCCAAAGCCACACAGCTATTAAGTAGGACAGCCAGGATTCAAACCTAGGTCTTCTGACTCCTAGTCCAATGCTTTGCTTGGTTTTTTTAAAATAAACACTATGCTGTATCTCAGTATGATATATGAGCATATATAGTCACTGACTTAATGAATTCACTTTCTCTCTTCATGCCCAGGAAAATATTAGAGATATGTGCCTTGTGAGTAGAATGGGTCAAAGAGCCTTCCACTTCACAGCTTTTAAGAGAGGAACAGAATAATCACACACACTTACTACTAGGTCTCCAATGGTCTCTTTGGGTGGGCTGACCACAACGTTCTGTCCAGATTTGGCCACAGGTTTATTCCTAGTTTACCAGTCACAACCCTTTTAGGACTCTTAATTTCTGAAAATCACACAGGCAATTCTATGCAATGTTTCTTGATGGGGGGAGAGGGGAGATGCAAAGGGGATTCATTTTCTTTGTTCCAGCTCAGATTATGTCTTTGGCTGACTTGGGTAAAAGTTATCAATTAAAGAAAAATCTTGACTTAGGGAATCTGAGAATTTGGTTTGAAGGGGTGGTAGCAGAATTTCTTAACTTGAGATCTCAGAACTTTAAACATTTTTTTTCAGTAACTATATTTCAAAATAATCAATTTCCTTTGTAATCCTGTGTGTTTTATTTTATACATTTAAAAACATTATGCTGAGAAGGAGTCCATAGGCTTCACCAGATTGCCAAAAGGGTCCATGATGCCAAAAGCATTAAGAACCTTCTATACACACTTAGATGTAATTTAATCCAATCCATTTTAGATATGAATCCTTCAGTCCCCTCAACGACATTTCTGACAGGTGTTCATGCAGCCTCTACTTTAACCCTTCTAGCTACAGGAAACTCATTGCTTTATACCACAGCCTAGTTTTACGTTAAGTCCTTTCTTATATTGAGCCAAAATGTGCTTTCTATTAGGCCTAGTAACTGCCCTCTGGAGCGACACAAAATAAATGCAATCTCTCTTCCAGATGACAGCCCTTCAAATATTTTCAGACAGCTATCATATCCCCCTTTAGTCTTTTCTTCTCCAGGCTAACTGTCCCCTGTTTCTTCAACTGTTCCAGTCCCTTCACCATACTGGCCACCTATTTATTTAGCAGGCAGTTAGCCTCTCACATAATTACTTGGGTACATTGCCATTAAATCAGGGCATAACAACAGGGCCTGGAAATGGGAAAATGACTGTTGGGGCTCTCCCTAGTCTCTCTCCCAGGTGGGCCGAGTTGTTTGGTTGTTTTCCTCTCCTGGAAGTACTTTGCATCCAAATGGCTTCCTGTTTATGTAAAAGAGGCAAAATGACCCTTTGCTGTTCTCACAGCCTGTTTAGTTCCTCCATTTCACATCCTTGTCTTTGTGACGGGGTGTTTCTCTAATTGCAGCAGCTAAAGGGGATAGGAGGGAGGCTGTTCTGTACCTTCCTCCTTATTTCATCTGATGCTGCTCCAGAGACCTGGCTTGAAAAAACCGGGACATTCGGCATAGACAGATGGAGGGCAGGGTCATTTTCAAAATGAAATGAGTGCACAAATCACACTGTGAAATTGGCATGACCATCAATGCTGCTATGATAGAGCAACTTTTATTCAGGCTCTGATAGGCAGTTGGGGAATAGATTGTTTTTTTGGGAAAGAAGGCTCTTTAATTAATGATAGAAATTCTGTTAAGCGATAAATGAGGTGGAATATGATAAAATGTCATAAAGGGCCATTTTATTTCCAATAGAATCTTGATCAGGCCAGAGCATTTATCAAAAAGTAAATCTACACTACAATCCACAGCAAAAATAAAATAATTGGTGGTTCTAACAAAATGATTCTCACTTAAAGAAAAGAATTTTGCCTTTAGAAGACTTTCAGCTCATGTACAGCCTGAATGCTGGTTGCATGGAAGTAGAAGGTAATACATGTTGAGAGTTCTATCCTACTAGGATTGCATACATGAGCTCCTTTAAAAATAGGTGTAGAAGCCATATGATAACTGACTGGTAAAGAGCATGAAGCTTGGTTCTTATGTTGATATATCTGCTTGGCAAAAAATGAGATGGTCAAATCCCAGGTGACTTTTTGGCATTCTCTTTGGAAATTAATTAAAAGGGATTAGTTCCCTGGGCTGACTGTATATAAATTGTAAACACTTTAGCTAAATATAACATTACTCATTTTCTGAATGCCATTCAGATGCCATAGTCATTTTAACACCATTCTTATTACAGAAAGCCATCAAGGTATCTTCTGATAAATTTCTGTTTTTAAATTATGGCCCTAGAAAGTGCTTTTTTCTTTAGCTTTGGAAGTATTTGGAAATCAGTTTCTTCATCTCCTTAGTGCTCCAGTTGCTTTAATTTTTTTTAAACCTTCTGTAATGTCTTTGAAACTGATGGGAATTCTAGATCCAGAAAAAAAGGCATGTAAAATGGGAAAAGGAAGAACAAGCTAGTATTCTCTGGATCATAGTAGTTGATATTAACTTGTTGGAGCAATTATTCTGTCTTTGTAAAAAATGACCCTAAAATATATTTTCCCAAAAGGTTGAAGCCAATTTGTATTACAGAGTCAGATCTCAGAAACCCAGTTAATGCTCACATGGAGAGAAACTTAACCTCATTATGAACTTAGCCTCCTTTGGCTTGCGATTACAGTTTTATTAATATTTTAATTAGTAATATGTTTCCTTCTTCCCTCTTTCCTAGATAGATCTTGCTTTTGATCAAGCTGCTACTATTTGTAGGTTTATTATTGGGTCCCACTGCTGTATCAGAATTGCTTTCTTAGGCTGAGCATAATTGCATCTCAGTTTATAAGCAAGGGAGAACATAACGGTGTGGACAGCGCCATTTAGAAAAAAACCCAAACAAAAAATAAATGAAACCACACCAAGACCCTTTATTTATGTAGCATTTTCCTCCAAAGAGTTCAGACTGCTTTGCCCATATTGCCTCATTAATCCTCATAAGACCTCTGTGAGTTAGGTAGGCGATAAATATTGTTATCTCTACTTTTAAACTCGGGAAACCTAAACACAAAAGGGTCTGGCGAATTGCCTGAACTCAGGCTGAGCCTGATGCAGGTTGCCTTGATCTGGCCAGTGGTGGGCCCTACTCTACCTTATCCCTTCTCTCCCGCTGGGCACCTCCTCTTTCCAGTCATTTGGATTGTCTCTGGATCATTTGCTGCAGTTTGTTCTAGTAGAACAGGCACAATGGTGCAAGAATTTTAAAGTTTAAGCACCAGAGCCATTGTGTAATTGCGTGGCCCGTCAGGGCGGCTGGCGGCTGCTGCAGTGATGCGGGGCTCCTGTGTAATTGCCCATGCAAATTTGAGCAATTTATAATAAGGCCACCATAACCTAGCATTAGTCTGGAGCCTCTTCCACCTCCAGAAAACTTCGGCAAAGCTGAGGAGCAGCGCCTTTGTCATCTTGAAATTGCTCCAATGACTTTAACTCTCGCTGTATCCTTGTCAGGTAGTCAAGCACAGAACTGAGCAGGAGGATGCAGGTTAATGGGCTGCCCACTAATATGAAAGGAGAGCTGCAGTTTGAGCTGGGAGTCTGCAGCCTGCTTCCCACTTCAGCCCCTAAATCACCCTGGCTGCAGAGAAATAAACACTCGTCACTGGAGTTCTTAAGCATTTTATTAAAAACCAAAGTTTTTTTTTTTTGGTCTCATAAAGCAGTTTGTTTCCAAAACAGTCTTTAAGACTGCATAATGATTACACATCAGCCCTAGAAAACCACACAAAGCAAAGGAGTTCAAATGATTCAACCAGGTTTTTTTTTGTTCTTCTTGTGCAAAACAATAATAATTAAGAAGTCAATCAGTAGGAATTCTTCAGAGTATTTCCAAAAAAGAGAAAATGGCAAGAGGAATACTTTTTTTTTGCCTTGGCGATGAGAGCAAAGACTAGTCTAGCATGTTATTTCCAAGACATGCTGTGTGTTTTGTTTTGTTTTTAAAGGGAGATTGATGGTATTCAGTTGAATCTGAACTGTTTGACAGCAAAGCAAAGTTTGTGCATTCAAGGTCTGCACAGGAAATGAACACAAAGTTAAATGACCATCCTAAATAACAGTTTCATGGCATATAAGTTCATTTACTTAAGAAAGCAATACCCATGTAGGAGGACATGTGTCTGAAGCACGTCTACCTCCCAAAAGAGACAAATTACATGATTTTCCACACACCTGCAAGAGGCAATGCTAAACATGCAAGTTCATTAGAAAGTAAATTGGAAAAGGTGCCCAAAATAACCAGCTGAGGAAAAGAGATTGGTGCTCCAGCAATGTAAACTTGTCATTAGGTACTGTTAAATTAAATTGTTCATCATGAAATTCTCTAGATTCTTTTGCCTCCACCAATTTTATTTCTGCTGGAGATGTTGTTTCATTCAGTTATAGCTCTCTTAGGAAGTTTATGGAATCTCAAACTTCTTGTAGTCAGATTGTACTAGCATATACTTTCTATTTCCTGATACATTTTAGTTTGGGGAGTTATTTATTGCATTTGGCAGACCAGGCTGTGTGTCTTTCCAGAGCTGGTATTTTGAAGTAGAGTAAAGCTTCACTACACTGATAATAACAGGTTCTCAAATTATATTTTAATAAAATGAAACCTTTAAATTTTTTTTCAATGAAAACATTTTCATTTAAACTCAAACTTCCCATGTTGTGTCCAGATTTTTATTCCACTTGAAGGAAATTGTCCCATTTTGTTGATAATTTTCAATTCATAAGAATCAGGCAAGGCAAGAGATTTTAAATTAATTGTACCCTAAAGTGAAACTGTCCACTTTTTATTCATTGTCTTTAGTGAAGAACACCTTTAAAAGTATGATAAGCATTATGCTTTGAGTGAAAAAAATAATACTTAATAAATTGCCTTGGCATTAATATAAAATGCTATTAGTAACATCAACAAAAACTAACATTATGTTTTAAATGATTTTAAACTTGACAGTTCTTCTTTGCAGATACATCATACCAAAAATACAGACATTTTAAAATTTCTCAGATGGGGAAAATAGTTGCTAACTTATTTTGATTCACTTTCTAAAGTCATCTACTAAATTTTGTCAATTATATGGAATAAGTGAAAACTATTTTTTCATTTTGACTCTAAATTGAATAGTAGTGCCTTTTGTGGTCAGTAGAAATGTGTTCAGAAATATGAAAATGATAAGGTTGTTGTATACTTAACCCAAATGCCCACTGATGATAACCCTTTCAAGCTTGTCATGATATTACTCCAAAATATAATTTTCAACAAATGAATAATAGACGTGATTGTTGTCATGATGTACAATGAAAAAGACCATCTTGCTCTTGGAGTTAATGTAGACGTGACCTAGAACCATGAATTGTAAAGGTCAGAAGGAACTTTAGCGATCTTTTCATCTAACCCTGTCATTCTACAGAGGAGGAATCTGGGGACAGTAGAGATGAAGTAACTTGCCCAAGGTTAATCTGCTACTAAAGCCAGAGCCAGACCAGAACCTGGATTTTTCTCATTGCTAATCTAGTGGCTCTTCCATCATGTGATGGAGTCCCTACTGCACCATGGCTGACAGTCAGTCTCATGTTAAAGTGTGCAGCCATACCACCAGGAATAATATAATAAACTATTCTTTAGGGAAAGTAAGATGGAGTTATTTGGATGCCCTCACGTTTGGCTCCACAGAAACCCTGATAATGATCCCTTTCATATTAATCAAACCAATTCCCTCTAAACTAGCAAATAAACAAGAATAAAAGGTTGTAGAAATTGCATGTCTCAGTAACTGTAATGACTAATCTTTGCTAGAGAAATGTAACCTCTTTCTTTTCTTTGGAGAGGTAGAGGGCTGCGGGTATGGAATGTTGTATGTACTGTCAAGATATCCTGACAGCTGGTTTCACTGAATTGTTTTTCTTTGTTACTGGGGAAGGTTCAGTGGCTAGGTGGTGGTGTCATTCGTGGAAATGACTAAAATACACACAAAAAAGGCATAAATAAAAAGAAATTCACCTCCATAATCTCCTACATTTTAAAAGGTGGCTAAAGAACAACCACCAATTTCACTATATTTTAAAATTATAAAACAAATATTCCAAAAACCTTAAGGCCATCATGATTTTTTTTTCTTCCTATCACAGACTTCAAGATTTCAACATTTAATCCTGGGTCACTGAGGTTGGGGAGCCTGCCACACTCCATTTCCACTGCTTTATGGCCATGGAGGAACAGACTCATGGCATTAGTCAGCAGTTTCTGAATTTTGACCCACAATAGGAGAGATACCTCAAGACAGGAGAAATAGATGGAGGCAATTACAAACAGCTACATGATTGATGGTTGACATTGTTAGGGCTCCACTGTATGGCAGGTTGCAATGGTGTTGAACTCCCCTTGCTACCAGTGGATGTTGCTATTGGCAACCGTGCAGTGAAGCCAATAAAAAGGAGAGGAAATGAGAGGAAAAAGTCTCAACCTTGGTGGAGGCTGTAGGGTTTGTCCTATAAATTATGTTACACTCAGCAATATGCAGCATCAATGTTCAGGCTACAGTACACAGAACTGCCTGCCTGCAGTATCAAGTCAAACTAGGGATCTATTTTTTATCATTTGACCATAAAACACATCTTATATAAATTTGCTTTAGATGGAGTTGCAAGAGTCTTTTGGGCTATTTATTTGTAGTGTTTGAGGAAAACTGATGTGGGTTTGTTTCAGCCTCACGTGGTGTGTTTTTCAATTCCCTTTTGTGATGTAAATATGATGTGGCACAATACCCATAAACACTTGCAGTACCTCAGAAAGCAGAGATAGGGGTGGCTGTTTCTAACCCCACCCACCTTTGTTCCTTACCTGGAGGAAGTAAGACAGCCCTGCAAGAAGCCATTTTCCTTTACAGCGAGGCAGTTCAGAAAACGGGCATAATAAAACCCATAAATCTGAATGACCTCCTCTTACCTACTCTATTGAGGCTTCTTTCTACACTCATTTTCTCCTATAGTTTCTCAATCCTTCTCTGCTGAGGAAGCTGTAAAGGCTAGTCAGAAGCATTATTTTTTTAAGGCTTCTCATCTCTCCTCTACACAGCCCCTCCCTTTCTAAACCTTTCTCTTGTGCTGAGCTTTCTGGTAACATAGCCTCTCCTCCTTCTGTCTGAGGGCAGTCTTTCCTTTCTCTTTGTTTTCACTGCCTTAACCCTCCCCCTACCCTTTTTTTCTTCTATCATGATTTAGTGGAAAGAGACCCAGATTTCAAATAGTGACTTGGGTTCCCATTCTGGTTTTCACCTTCCGTGAACCTCATTTTCCATGTCTGCAAAATAGTGACAGTGATACTTGGTGCCCAGTGTTGTGAGGAAAGGCTTTACAATCTTAAAGTGCTATGTAAATGTCAGCTACTCTTTGGCCACAGTTCCTTTGTCACCTCTCTGGTCTACACAGATAATTTATTATTTGCCTCTTCATATAGACCTGCCTCCCCTTAATTAATTTCTTGCTACATTAGGAGTATTACCTAGTTCCTCCACTGTCTGCTCTCCCTCTCCCCTTATATCTTATTTTTTATTCCCTGTAATATTCAGGGAATGGAGGAGAGGTGGTGTTGATCAGTAAAGGTGAAAATGGGCAGAAGTAAAATTACAAGCCAGATGGGACTTGAGTCAGCCCCACCCCTTCATTTTACCCATATTGGGGTGCAAGGTCCTGAAAGAACCTCATCTTCTAGGACTAGAATTCATGTCTAGTATCACAGATTTAGAACTAAAAATAACCTTAACCAGTCCAAAATTCTGTTTTTACATGTGGGTAAAGTTGGACCCTCAGAGGTTAAATGAATTATCTAAGATTACACAGAAAATAGAACTCAGACGGGTTCTAGTTAGACTGTCTAGTAGAACCCCTTCATTTTACAGATGAGGAAACTGAAGCCCACAGATGTTAAATGACTTGCCCATGGTCATATATCAGAAGGTAGATTTGAACCTGGATCCTATGACTTTAGAAGCAGGCTTCTTTCCACTACACCACATTGCCTTTTACTAGTCTCAATCCTCCAAGATGCTTTTCTTTGTTCTGTGGACAAAACAGCCAGCCTCCTTCAAAGTTTATCATACAGCCAGTTCAGAAGTTCATTTTTAAAGCTCATGCAAAATAGCTGGATATTTTGAAGACAAGGTGTTTTGGTAGCTTACAAAGCTGGCTTAGTCAAATTGAACAGGCCTCATTCTTTCCTGTTGAATGTGTGCTCGCTGCCCAGACTCTTGTTTCTTAGCCTTCTGTGCTATACCAGGACAAAACAAACTCACCGGTGAGAAAACTCCATGTACTCAATGCCCCAGTCAGAGGGTACACCAGGCCCATTCTATTTCCTGTGAAATGCCTACCTCTCCTGAAAAAACAATTCCAAAAAGAACATGACCCATTTATGCTAAATCCAGCTTGTGAACTTCAGAGCTATAGATTTCCTTTCCATTCATACTTTAATTAAAGTCCGTTAATCCTCTTCTTGGGAGGAGGCACAGTCCACTGTGAATATTGAATAGGGCTGCTCTGAATGCAGGGCCCACAATCCCCATGCAGTGTTATTACTTTTATATAAACTTCCACTGGCCAAACAAATTTATTGCCTCCTTACCACAGACTTCTTTGGGGGGGGTTGTAACTGGCCCAAGTTGAGACTTCTAAGGATAATAAAGTTTGTTTTTTAAGGATAGCCAAGATTGGCTATGCTAAAGGCCCTGAACAATCACAAAGAAGCTTCATTGTCTAAAAAAAAAATTCTGTAGAATACAAAGGAGGGTCCTTGGGACAATCTGGCGTAAAAAGGAGAACAGCAAAAGCAAGCAGAGAACAGAAAAGCAGGCAGTGTTTAGCTTCTAACAAATAGTGGCGAGATAAATAAAACACCACAATTCTGCACTGCCTTAGCTTCCTGTGTGAGCACTGACCAACCCAACAGTGTTCTAATTGTTGCTTCGTGTCAGTGCCCTTTTTTTTTCTGCTTTACATGCTGTGGTATAGATATTCTCTGTACAGCAGCAGTGGAAAGGTGGCCCTTCCTCCATCCACGGCATTCTCCGGGCCTTATGTCTTCCTGTATTATTCCAGGTCCACTTGCTGTTCAGAATGACTAAACTCAAAGGTGAAAGCCACTTCCCAGCCAATGGCATCATCTCCAGTGCCTCAAGCTTGTCTGTGGCAGCTTTAAAAAAAAAATTGTGGCAAAGCGAAAGAGAGCCTTTTGAGAGCCAGTCATTTTGCAGTGGCAACCGATGCAGGCAGGCTTAATTGATATCTTCCACTGACACAGTGAGGCTGGAAGAGGAAGAAGGTGGAGGTGTCTGAGAAAGCAACATTTTCTGGTGCAGCTCTTCCCATTTACTCCTGTTCACAGCAATAGAATCCAGCATGGGCTTCAATTTCACATTTACTTTTACTAAGGCCTAAAAGAGATTAAAAAAGGGGAGGGGGGAGAGGGGTTGCAGGTTTGCAGGGAAGAAAGAAAACCAGAGTTACTGATATTATTTCCCATCAGGAAATTGGCTATAAGGAGCATGATTCATTGTGATTTTGGTGAACATAATTATTGAGTAAATAGTAATAAATAAGTATTTAGGAGTAAGCATGGAGTAGTATACATATTGGGGTGGCCTCAGAGTCAGGATGTCCTGAGTTCAAGGTCCAAGTCTGAGACATACAGCTATATAATTCTGAGTGAGTGACTTAACCTTTCAATGTCCCCTGAAAACTCAGGAAAGCCCTGCGTTGCAGAACAGACTGCATTGGTAAAGGGCATTTGCTCAACATGAGCTCTCTCCCATGAAATCACAGGTCTGGACCTCCCAAATTATTGAATAAGTGGTAATAAGTATGTGTTTAAGACTTACGTGGGTAGTCTAGGAAGCAGAAAGAAGCTTCTGAAAGAGGGATAGAATCAAAGTCAGTGGGCTCAGGGTTGCTTCTTTTTCTAAGACTGAGAAGCATGAATTTCAAACCCATTCTTCTTCCCTCCAGTCATTTTTTTTTAACTTTTCATTAGTGATGTCAGGTGACCTCCTAGATGAAGTCAAAAGAACATAGCTCTTTGGCTAGTAAAATATCAAAAAGTATTTATTAAGCACCTCTTTTGTGTCTTTTGTAACAGTAGGAATAAAATCATCTGAGCAAATTGCACAGATAAAGGTGGCTCTCTCTCCCCATCATTTTCTGGACGGCATGATAGCAGATAAATAAGAAAGACTTTTATGACAATCTTATCCTTTTGAAGCATGGCTAGGATTAAAGAGACAATGATAGCACTATTATCTGGGCTTTTAAAATGTATTGATATGGAGGTGTTTTTATAACAGTAATTCATGAATAGATCAAATCAGGTGAAAGCTTGCAGATCCTTGAACATTTATTTCTATTGGATGGGCTATTTTCAAATCAGAAGACTCTCTTAATACCTTGTTGAAATAAGAAATCTTTACATTCACATCTGTCACATATGTTTAAGTGTCAAGACACACTGTATAACTAGTCACGGAGAATTATACTTTTACATAAGATGTTTCAATATTCCTTGCACTTAAAAGGAGTTCATTCATTCTAGGATAGGAGATACAATGCAGAGATTAAATGGTTCCTGTTTTCATAGACCTTACAATCTAAAAGGGATACAAGACACACAAGGAACTAATACAAAATAATATATCACAAGTGGGTTAAATTTATGCATATAAAGTACTATATGGAGTTTAAGAAGTTAAAGGCCATTATTGTTGGGGAAATCAGGGAAGGGAAGGCTTAATGAATGAGGTGGCATTTGATCAAGGCTTTCAAGGATGAATAGGATTTCTGAGGGCAGAGTTTGGGGAAGAATGCAAAGGCAGGAACGTGAAGGATGAGGAGAAGGCAGGTAGTCTAGTTTGGGATGAGGAGTCATTTGAGATAAGGTATAGTGGTGTCAGATTTTGGAGGGCCTTGAATGTCAGCCACATGAGCTTGAATGAATGAATTTCAAACATGAATTCAAGCAAATTTAAAGCATGAATTTCAAATCCATTATTTTTTCCTCTAGCCTTGTTTTCTTTTACTTTTCACTGATAATGTCAGTTAACCTCCAAGATGAATTCCGAAGAAAGTTGCTCTTTGGCTAGTAAAATATCAAAAAAGTACTTATTAAGCAACTTTTTTGTGTCTTTTGTAGCAATAGGAATAAAATCAGTCAATTGCACAGATAAAGGTGGCTCTTTCCCCACCATTGTGGCCTCTGTGTGTGTGTGTGTGTGTGTGTGTGTGTGTATGTGTGTAAAGTTACACTCTGTGGTAGTAGATAGAGTAGACAGAGAGATATGGTTTATTAGATACAGTATTGAATCTGGATTCAGGAGAACCTGGAGTCTCTAACACTTACTAGTTGTGGGATATTGGGAAAGACAGCTATAAAAGGAAAATAATAGTATTTCTATTCCCTCTCTTACAGGTTTACAGGTTGAAAGTATTTTGCAAATCTTAAAGCGCCATATAAATGTGGGTTATTTTTATTATGCTTATGTATATAAGTTCTATTTGGCAGTAATATGAAGGAGTAGAGAGTGGAGGTGAAAAGCCACTCACAACTCCAATCTTCTGGAGTGGCTGGAAAATGTCTGGGATTTTCCTTTAGTGGAAAGGAAAAAAAGGAAAAGGAAAAAAATAACTTTGAAATTACTTGGTGTATCTGTCATTTGTATTATCAGGGATCTTATGTAAGACATTCTGAGGTGGAAAATCCAGTACAAGACAGAGATCGCTGCCCCATAACATATTATGTGTGTGTGTGTGTGTGCGTGTGTGTGTGCATACATACATACATACATATATATATATATATATATATGCATGCATATAATTATAGCAAAAATAATTATAAATGAGTTTTAAAAACACAATACAGAGGGTCCAATTCACAGAAAGACAAGAAGAAGGGAAATAAACAATATGTCAAACATGAAAAATTGCACAGATTTTTGGTACAGTAAATATAAGCATTAAGGCAGTTAGGTGGTGCAGTAGATAGTGTGCTGGGCCTGGAGTCAGGAGGACTCAAGTTCAAATCCCTCAGACACTTACTATCTATATGACCCTGGGCAAGTCACTTAACCTTGTTTGCCTCAGCTTCCTCATCTGTAAAATGAGCTGAAGAAGGAAATGGCAAACCACTCCAGTATCTTTGCAAAAAACAAAACAAAACAAAACCCAAATAGGATGATGAAGAATCAGACACAACTCGAAAATGACAAAACAACAGATGGACACTCCCTCTAGATTCGGAAGATGTGGATTCAACCCTCCATGGCCTTCAATTTTTCACCTATAAAATAAGGGTGTTGGAGTGGATGACCTATTCTCTTTTGGCTCTAAATTTATGAATTGACTTTAATATCCTTGCCAACAATCAGCCATATTCTTGAAATATGTGAAACAGTGGTTGGCCCTACATCTTGAATGATTAGAAGACTCTCTTTTCAAGAATTAAAAGTCTTCAGTTTAATAGACATACATTTTGCTAGACTGAGCTTTGTGAGGGCAGAGACTATTGTCATTCTCTGGTACCCATGAAGTTCCTTGTACATGGCAGATACTTCATAAACTTTAGCTGAACAAATTATGGATCAATAAGTATTCTGTGTACTGAGGAGGAAAATATTGAAGGTTTAAATTACTGAGGGAATCAAGAGTTTGTTGGCCATTATCATCAAACTAGGGTAAGTTCTCATACTCTGGAACTTCCTTTATAAATAACTTCCTCCCAGGGATACTGACAATGTTCAAACTACACTTTGTGAGGCACATTCTTCTCTGAATCCATAGATAAATAATGCATAACTGAGAGAGTGTGGTGCCAGGAAGCATTGGGACAAAGAAGGAAAAGTGACTAAGAGAAGAACATTCCTCGCTCTGAATCCCTGGTGCCTGATGGAGTGAGTAGTTAGAATTCTGAGTGAGTTACTTTTTTCTCATTTGAGGCGGTCAATTCTACTCATTTCTATAGTAACAGACTGTACCCCTAATCCTAGGGATGAGTCTAGAAGTAGTCCATGAGTCACAAGGGATACTGGTGAGATGTGTGTCTCCATGTAATTACATCACCTCTAAAGCATATAGTGAATTTTAGGACTTAATAAAAATGTCATCATCATCATCATCATCATCATCATCATCATCTAAATGAGAGCTATTACTAGAAAAACAACTCAAAAAGCATATCCAGTTACTGACAACAGCAGCAGCATCCTCTGTAATAGAAAGGACATCATTGACCACTTCTCAGCTTACTACCAGAGTGACCTGAGGCAATTTTCTTAACCTCCTTGGGCTTTAGGTTCCTCATCGGTAAAATAAGGGGCTCGGACTGGAAGGTCTGTGAAGCCCCTTCTAGCTCCAGCCCCGTGATCCCGTGATGCAGGCCAGTGCCAAGTTTTTAAAGGTCTTTCTTTTAATGAGCTTTCATCATAGTGAAAGAGCTGCCTCTCCAGTTCCACATGGCCTAAGCGTAGTACTTGCAGCAAACAGTGAAAAGTGTTCTTTTTCTCCCAATAAAGAAAACATCTGTTTTATAATCCAATGCACTAGTACTTCTATTTGATAAGAAAACACACCAACTTCCCCTTCCTTAGGTAGTAACTGAAATTCCTTTTATTTCTGTGAGAACACTCACCACGGACATTTTTTGCGCTCTCAGCAGAGAGTCTTCATTCTGACATTTATGTGATACCAAAACTGCCACTGCTGTATTTAGTATAGTCTGGCGTCGCTTGCTCTTCATTCTGATCAAGCCTTTTAATTAAACTGACTAGAATAATTCCTATGGAAATTAGTGTTTATTTTATTTTCAAGCTACAAAATCATTTCTCTAGGACTTTTTTTTTTGATCCCAGGAGTACAAATTGGAATTTTTTTTCCTGCCTAAAATGTAATTAAAAACTCATTTGATTACTATATTTCTGGCTCTGTTTTACTTATTAAATTCCTGTAATCAGTTTTCTTTTATGAAGCTGCTGGGAAATGATCTCAAAAGCAACACATTTTTCTCTTTCTTGGCAGGTTCCTGAGCATTTACAGAATTATATTCATAGCACCTGGCCATGATTCGAATTAATCCACCAATTTATTCCTTAAACCATTTTAGTTTATTTGGCTTTCCCCCAAATAAACTTCTTTACTTTTATCTTGGCTCTTTGTTCAACTAGTTGTTTCTCCCTTTGTTGAATGAAAACACTTTGGGGGAGTACTTTCTCATTTTCTTTTTTTTCTTCCTCTCTACTTTTTCTTTCTCTCTTTCTTTCTTTCTCTTTCTTTTTCTCTCTTGGTTTCTTTGTCTTCCTTCATCCCTCCCTGTGTCTCCTCCTTCCTTCCTTTTTTCCTTCCTTCTTTCCTTCCTTCCTTCCTTCCTTCCTTCCTTCCTTCCTTCCTTCCT